TCTTTCTTTCTTTCTTTCTTTCTTTCTTTCTTTCTGTCTGTCTGTCTCTCTTTCTTTCTGTCTGTCTGTCTGTCTTTCTTTCTTTCTTTCTTTCTTTCTTTCTTTCTTTCTTTCTTTCTTTCTTTCTTTCTTTCTTTCTTTCTTTCTTTCTTTCTTTCTTTCTTTCTTTCTTTCTTTCTTTCTTTCTTTCTTTCTTTCTTTCTTTCTTTCTTTCTTTCTTTCTTTCTTTCTTTCTTTCTTTCTTTCTTTCTTTCTTTCTTTCTTTCTTTCTTTCTTTCTTTCTTTCTTTCTTTCTTTCTTTCTTTCTTTCTTTCTTTCTTTCTTTCTTTCTTTCTTTCTTTCTTTCTATCTGTCTGTCTGTCTATCAGTCTTTCTTTCTTTCTTTCTTTCTTTCTTTCTTTCTTTCTTTCTTTCTTTCTTTCTTTCTTTCTTTCTTTCTTTCTTTCTTTCTGTCTGTCTGTCTCTCTTTCTTTCTGTCTGTCTGTCTGTCTGTCTTTCTTTCTTTCTTTCTTTCTTTCTTTCTTTCTTTCTTTCTTTCTTTCTTTCTGTCTGTCTGTCTGTCTGTCTCTCTTTCTGTCTGTCTGTCTATCTGTCTGTCTCTCTTTCTGTCTATCTGTCTGTCTCTCTTTCTGTCTCTCTGTCTGTCTGTCTGTCTGTCTGTCTGTCTCTCTTTGTCGAGACAGAAATCTGAACATCGGATAAAACCAAGTTCAAAATTCTTGTTTCATTTTGTTGATAGAAATATCTTATATATTAGATATTAGAGATAACATTTTTTACTGAAACAGCTGTCAACAGGCAAAAAATATATATATAAATATATATTCACCATGGTCAAAAACAACAACAGCGGAATAAAATGTTATTTACATTAGGCAAATAATATATAAACAAACTCTTCTTTAAAACCTTCATAATATAGACAGGAATAAGAAAAAAGTGCTGCTAAAGTGGCTCATTTTGAAAAATGGCCTTTAAAGATGTGTATTATAATGGAAATCTACAAACACAAAGAGATAAAGTGCAATAAAAGAAACACTTAATGTGCACATTGGTTGTTTTCTTTCCTCTAGTCTGAAAGAAGACGTTACAGAAGCAAAATAACCCAAAAATGACCAGTATCTTGCCTGATAGCTATAGCAACGGTGGCAGTTTTTCAGTGAGTTTTTAGGCTGTTTTTAGAGCAGCTGTTGTTGTTTTTGCTCTGAAAGTCCCGCCTAAATAAGAGGCATGGAAATGATGCACTTTAAAGTTTGTGATTGTCCGATGCAGCTGTCATCAGTATGTTAACAACATTTTCAACAGCTGAGGATCCAATTTACAGCTGTGCTCTCGTTCCGCCCCATAGAAGAGAATTGCAGGTGAATTTGATGCTCAACACATTTCATCAAGGAGAAACATATCTTAACAGCGTAGCGAAACACAGCAAGTATTATTGTGCACAGACATCTGAAATCTCGATAATAGAAATGGGATTTAATTAGACCTTAAAGTGCTGCATGAAGAGCCCAAGTTAAAGCTTATTCGGATTTCTGTCTTTAATGTGGATGAAGGAACTTCCGCTCCCACACACACTTATCTCTGTGGCATGGGGGGGGGGGGGGGGGGGGGTTTGTTTATGACG